CCGGCGCTTTCTCATGTAACGGCTGCAGCCGCTCCACACACACACATATATATAAATCATTGCTTTTTTATAAGGGATAATCGCATTTTAATATCTAAACTTTTACAAAATTCCCAGATAAATATCTAAACTATAAAATTCCCAAATAAATACCTGAACTTTTCAAAAATCTTATATAAATACCTGAACTTTTGATTTTTTTTCCAAATAAACCATTTTCCGTTGACGGCGTCTAACGTATAAAAAATTCCGGAAAAACAATGATGATTCAGCGTTAAAAAATCCTAATAAGCATCCACGTCATACGACACGTTTCACAAACCAGTTTAAGTGAATAATAATTTAATAATCAAACCTGTTTGATAAAAAATGAACCTAAAATCTCCGTTACTCTTCTTCTTCGTGTGCTTCTCTTTCGACGGGGGATTTTGATGAGGAATTTGTGGGTGGGGATTGGGGGAGAGGCGAAGCTCCCGTAAAAATCTCAGCCGTCGTCCGTTCAATTTCCGTCGCAGGAATCCGACTCTCCTATTGAAAACTGAAGCCCAACCGATGGAGACTGAAGCTTCAGTTTCCGGCGTGAAGGCGATTGAGTCATCTTTGGAGACGATGCGTCTCGTCCAAGGACTCAGAGAGAGGAGGCAGAGCAACCGCCTCCGCAGGTGACGGTCGTGACAAAGAATATTTCGTTCGGGACGATGTCGGAGAAAGAAAAGTACGACTGAGAGACAACGGAGAAGGAAACTCCGACATGCCTCGATGAAGAGAAGCACATGATTTCTCAGAATCTGGGCTCGTTCAAGGAAGAAAACAAACAACTTTCGGATCTGTTTGATTCTGAGAGCAATCCTCTGGTCAAACTGAAACAATTTGTATAAAACTAAAGCAAAAACAAATTTGTATAAAAAAGAAAATTATATGCGTGTAGAATTGAAATTTTTATAAAAAATCTCTCATGAGGAGAATTAGAAATTTAGAAGGACAAGGAAAAGCCCAGGAGACAAACAAACGACGAACAAGATAAATATTTTATTGGCTGTTTATTTTATTATCACACCGGTTTGAGTCAATTATTATTTGGTTATTCAATTAAACTGGTTCATTTATCTTAGCTCATGACGTGGATGCTTATTAGGATTTTTTAACGCTGAATCATCATTGTTTTTCCGCAGTTTTTTATGCGTTAAACGGCGTCAACGGAAAATGGTTTATTTGAAAAAAAATCAAAAGTTTAGGTATTTATATAAGATTTTTGAAAAATTCAGGTATTTATTTGGAAATTTTATAGTTCAGGTATTTATCTGGGAGTTTTGTAAAAATTCAGGTATTAAAATGCGATTATCCCTTTTTATAACATGTATTTTTTAACCAAATTTCATATTAATTTTGAAAATTAGACATATGAATATTCCACTGGTTAAAAAACGTTTCTTGTTTACAATGAAATAATTAAAGTGATAAAACTTAATTTAAAATGCACACAAGGGAATAATGGTTAGTTAGACAGCCGAATTACGCAGATATGATTTATGATTTTGTCCTATCCTTTTCAATGCACACAAAGATACACATATATACATACGTGCGTGTATTTATACGTGTGTATAATGGGTCCCACGTGGTTATGGAGTCAGATCCAGAGACGTAACGTATAGACGGAGAGTTCCAATAACAAGTGATCTTTGAACAACCGAGACATGGACCACGTGGCTCAGGCAGCGCGCCAAAAAACATATGTGGGACCCACTGAAAAGGATATTATTATTATTTCTGTATTATTATTAATAGTCTCACAGCCGACGCACCACATTGTGTACTGTCTGTCATCTTCGGACATATCACAGCGACACCTGTCGCCACGACTCTTAACATGTGTCCAGGTGAAGCTACTTCGTGTCGTTATATCATTGGTTGATCTCATTGCAATTAAAAAACATATTTTTTTCTCCCATGCATTTTCAGTCATGTGCATATGGACCCCTTTATTTCAAAATGTGACATCTGTGCTCGTATATTTTGTTTTTTTTTTTTATAATTGATGTTTAACAAATAGATTTTTCCTCATATTATATTCTAACGCATCAATATAAAACATTTTATATTTTTAGATAATATAGATTAGAATATTATGATAGATTACAATATTATAAAAAATGATAAATATCATGTATATTATATTTGAGAAGATTCTAATATTTATATTAAATAATTAAAATGATAAATATTGTACTTAATATTTAAAAAAATATACAAAATTATCTAGATAGGATCTATATTTTGTTTTATCTTTCTAATATTTGGTTCTCCAACCGGAAATGAAAGTACCGCCCTAAACTTTTGTTGTGTGGTGCCTTTTTCTCTAATAAATATCAATTATATAAAATATAAGTCCTACAAAAATAGATAATTAAAACACGGCCCACAAAATTAAACCAGACAATCATTTCTCTTTAGTTGTCATTCACATATAGAAACCGTCACTCTTCGTAAAAACTTAGTACAGAAGTTCTACAAGGAGAGGACTGCAAGATTAACATATACGGGCAAAATTGAAACAATGTAAAATATTGGGCTGTTTAAAACATTATATGTAACTTCCGGGTCTTGTCTACAAAACCGGTGTTTGGATGCTGTGATAGGGAGAGAAAAAGGAGGGAAGAAATCTGGTTGGTTGGGATTAGGATTCTGGATGACATTAGTGAAGCGTGTGGGTCCCTCCCAAAAAAGCGGCCGCCGCAGCTCATCTTGTTTCACACGTGTCTCTCTCCTCAATTACAATTATTTATTTTTTAATGAATTATTCCGCACTTTGTATTCAATATTTTTTATTTTATTACTTACTATCATATATTAATTCTTTCTTATTATTATCGTTATTTTAATTGATGTGATCCGGATATCCCCTAACCGCAACTAATCTTAGTCTTATTCTATATTTATTATTATTTTCTTATTCTCGACAGCGTTTTAAGAAATTCCCATGTGGATAAATCGTGCCAACAATTGTTCACATTATCTTTGTTCAACCAAATATTTTATAATTCTCTTAGGATTTTACTCTCATGTTTACATTCTTTACTGAAAAAATAAAAAATAATACAAACGTAATTTTATGTTGCAGCCCACGTGAAATATATGACCAAATAATTTGTAGTTGGAAATTGCATACAAATAATTTGTAGTTTTTTGGCTGTACTTTAAAAAAACTTGAAAATAATCAAAAAAGGGTTGAAAAGAGAGAATTAAAACAGAATTAGTGTAATTAATACGTAAAGAAGTAATTTCAGCGCATTTAATACTATGGACTCACGAGGATCATATAATCATAACACTAAGATCTTCGCTGTGTGGTGCAAATAAAAAGAAAGAACGAAATTAATAAAACTAATTAATTAATGGTTCATGCAACGGAGAGATTGAATTTGGGGAGACAAGGGTGGTGGCGAGTGGGGGACCGGGGCCAGAGAGAACTAGAGAAAGATTGGGGGCCAAAATGAAAACAATAAAAAGTAATGGGCCCCTTGTCCAAAAAAAGTGAAAATAATTATTGATATAGTAAATAGTAATGATGGGAAAAGACAGAGAGAATCAAAAGCTTTATCGGACGGTGGAGATGCACGTGACGGCAATGCAGAATCCCGACATAAAACCTTCCATCTCCGTCCCGCCCCGTTCCGTTTATATTCCACCCGCGTTACGTTTAGATTCTCTTTGGATATTAATCATTCCGGTTTTGGTATACATATCGGTTCCCGAACCGGTTAAAATGGAGAGGTATAAATTTTCTTTTCATTTTGACATTATGAATAATTTTAATTCATAACAATAATTATCTTGCATTTGATTTAATTTTTAAATATATTATACAATGGTAGTATTTAAATGATTAGATTATATATATCGACTGATGAAAAAAGTTGGTGTTTTTTGTCTTAAAAATCATGGACTTTGGATCTGATATGGAAATAGTATATTTTTGCCTGAGGCTTATCTAAAACTTTAACGTTTGGTCAATTAAAAAAATCAACGGTTTTTGAACCCAGAATACACTTAGTTTAATTGATATTGTCTTTTTTTATTACAATCTTTGATATATAAATACATTACACATACCAAAACATACAGTATTAATTTAAATGTATATAATATAAAATCAGATATAATTAAAAGCTGGGAAAAGGGTGCTGGACCCCACAAGTGTGATTCGGTCTCCTTTGAGCGCGGTGCTTGCTTGGCCGTCGGTGCCGAAAAATAATAAATATTAAAAATTAAAAAGGAATGAGAAGTGGGAATATAAAAAATCGACCGTCCACGTGGACGGGTAAAAGAATACGAGACGTTGGATGAAAACACGAATCACGAAGAGAGAGTTTAGGTTTTTCTCTCTCCTTGATCGTGGAGTTGGCGACAAAAGGATCTCTCTCTCTCTCTGCCTCTCATAATGAAGCCGCCTTCTAAACGTCGTCGTTTTCCTACTCTCCCACCAATTAATCAATCATCATTATTTTATTACCAGCACTGATGTACTATCACTTATTTAAACTTTTTATTTTGACAAAACTAAACAAAAGAAATAGAATTATCAAGGTAGTAAGTTATAAAGAAAAAGAAAAAGGTTATTGGAAAATAAATGCTATAAAATATTGACTCGCAATATTTAAGAAGAAACTTAAAAACAAATAAATGAATACACAGAGGGTGGATGTGATGACGTAATCAGAAAGAATTTCCCAACGTACGCCGCAGCGAGAAATCGGAGCCGCCCACCACCACGCCGGCTGCCTGCGACACTTGGACCATTTAGTTCCAAGCCGATGATACTCATCATTATTATTATTGAGAAAGATGCCGCCGGCTACGACGATCCTCATTTGGTTGCAACCAAGATTCGTATCTGTGGGTTCGGATCAAAACGGCTGATGATACAAATCAGTATTTTATTTATTCATGATTTTGAAAATAAAAACAACATGGCGCCCACCACCACGCCGGCTGCCTGCGACACTTGGACCATTTAGTTCCAAGCCGATGATACTCATCATTATTATTATTGAGAAAGATGCCGCCGGCTACGACGATCCTCATTTGGTTGCAACCAAGATTCGTATCTGTGGGTTCGGATCAAAACGGCTGATGATACAAATCAGTATTTTATTTATTCATGATTTTGAAAATAAAAACAACATGGAGAAACCGTAGAGTGTTTCTCGGTCGCAAAAAAAAAAAAAAGAAAAAAAAAAAAAAAAAAAAAAAAAAAAAAAACAGGAGCATGAAGTAAGAACTAAAAACATTGGCTCAGATCTCTGGTTATGTAATAACCTAATATGTACATAATGGTCCTTTCATGTCACCTAAAATTATGTTTCCTCTCGTGGATTTTTTTTTTTCATTTATTTTTTCCTGAGAGAGAGAGAGAAAAAAAAAATACGGCGAACGTAATTTCCCTCGGCTCGAAAAAAAAAGGCAAAAAAAACCGACGACAAACGCCAAAAGCTCAGGCCTGTTCCGCCGGAGGAGGCAAGTTCAGATCTAGATTTAACGGCTGAGATCTCTTCTCTAACCCTCCCTCGAAATCGACGACCGACGACGCGTTCGAGTCGCTCTGGGCCCCACAACGCGCTCCCCCACGCGCCGCCGGGGGTTCCGTCGCATACCCGCAACGGCCCATCCCCATCAGGTCCAGGAAGAACACCGGACGCCCCAACGGGATCTGATAACACGCGCCGCCGCCGCCGCCGCCGCCGCGGCCCACCACCA